CCCATGTAGAGTGCGTTGCAGTAGTCTATCTGGGAGATAACAAGGGCGTGAGTGATTGTTTGAAGGGCATCCCGATCCAGGAAAGGCTGTAACTGATGCACAACCCAAAGTTGTGCAAAGGCCTTCCTTGCCACGGCTGCCACCTGCTCTTCAAGCAGGAGCCGTGAGTCTAGGAGGACCCCCAGATTACGCACTGGGTCTGTCTGGGGCAGTGCCACCCCATCCAGCACCAAAGATGAAAAAACCCCGGAAACAGGGGAGCCATTAACCCACAGCCGCTCCGTCTTACCAGGGTTCAGCCGAAGCCTGTTGTTCCCCATCCAGACCCTTACAGCCTCCAGGCACCACGAAAGGGTGGCCACGGCATCACTTACTTCACTATCTAACCACTGTAGCCTAGTTTTCATTAGGCTGTCTGTTTTTCCCTTTCTTTTTTTTTTCCAAATTATTTTTATTTCACTTTTAAATTTCAAAAGCACATATAAAGAACTTCTAAGAACAAAAGGGGAACGGAAAAGCAGGAGATTAAAAAAAAGAGTTCAGTGGAATCAATACAAGAATAATAGCAAGAATAACAGAAAGGAGGAGACAATCATTTATGAAAAGGGTAGACAAATGCAATGGCTTTGATCTGGCACCATCCAATCACCAGCCTTTCCGAATCAAGTGCTTTGGGATATATTGAAGAAAGCTCCCAGAATGCAATGCTCAGCCAGCAGAGGTAAGATATCTAGTCCCCTCCAGATCTTTAAATTCCAGAAAGCATAATCAAAGTTCAAGGGTTATAGGATTGTTAGTCCAAAACACTTGGAGCACAACAGGTGGCCTATCCCCGGGTTCAATGCATTCTAAGATTTGCTGAATTGAAGTCAGGATGGAGCTCACTAGCAGAATGAGAAAGATGATAAACAGCAAGCAGATAGTACTATATTGATTCAGGATGCAAACGAGGATGGCTTGTATCAAAACTTCACAGCACTGACATAGATGTCAGGCCCAGCCCAATGGTGAATGGTGAAACAGTCCAGTCAAGTATAGTTCCTTTATTGCTTACACCTTATAGACAGAATCTTGCCAAACTAAATTTATACTGATTCTAGGGAGTGGCTATCCTGGACCTCTTTCGCTTCCCATACTCCCCTTGAGGACTGCATTGTCTTTTGCCTCCTCCCCCCCGCTGGAACGCACCCCCTCCCTCCTGGTAGCCTTGATCTCCCACGTCACTCTCCTCCTCGTAGATACATTCCATCACAGAAGATCAGCGTTGCCAAATGAAGATTAGTTCACCTGCAGTCCCTCTGGATTAAGGCAGGAATACATTGCATAAATAAATAACAAAACAAAAACCAGATCCCTTTAACCTCCTAGCTTCTCATGGGCAGAGGTGAAGGGTTTCTGATGTACATGCTTAACTCACTCACTGATTCACCCTGCTGTCTGGGTTTACATAGTACACTGACCCATAATCAAAGGGCTGGATTAACACACAATGTTATGCTGTAAGAAAGCCAAACAAGGTTAAAACTAAGCAAAGGCAACATGTTGTGCTAATGAAACCATAAGTTTCCACTTACCTGGTGAAGTGGATTCTATAAGCCAAGGCAGGAGCTTTTTCATATCCTGGTACTTTTAAACATGTATTCTAAAGGATGCATACAAACACTTTGTGTGAAACTCTCCTGAAATTCTGAATCAAGCTTGAATGGGTAGTGATAGATTTATGTCATGAGCAATTGCTTGCAAAAGTAACCTTTATGGTGAACATTGTCTGTTGGCTTTAACGTTGTAAAAGAAAATAGAGATAAAGTTGGTGAAAGTATGCAAGAATTCTTGGCAGATAAAAGACAGTAAATGACATCTCAGCCCTGGGAACGGAGGGAACATGAGAAAGGCACTCAAAATAACCCCACCTCGATTCTGTATGGTATAAGAGGGGCAGAGGCAAACTCTGACAGGTTTTCAAGATTCATGCTGGCTGGGGAATTCTGGGAGTTGAAGTCCATACATCTTAGTCACTGAGGTTGAGAAATACTGCCCTACAACAATAAAGTACAGTTCCAGCATTTCTTGCGATGCCCCTTTTCTGATCTGGTCTTTTTAGGGCTAGCGATCTTAGACTTCTTTCTTTGTGAATCTGTACATTGGTTGGGTCTTTGGGGGCATTATCAGTTTCAACTGCCAGTGCTGATCTTCTAGTATTCTCTGTATTCAGGGACACCCAATTATTTGAAAACCTTCTTTAGAATTCACACTCTTGTGTGCCCAACTAAACAAGGCAATCAAGGTTGATTAGTATTTCCTTATTTCAGAATCAACACCTCATCGTTTAGGGCTTTCCCCTATTTAGCTCCTACTCTCTGAAATCCACTCCACCAATTACACATGGAGTCTGATCTCTAGAAGTCTGAAAAGTTTCTTACAACATTTTTCACAGGACCTTTATGAAGCCAGAAACATCTTGCCTCTCATTATTCACTGTAGATTTATACTAAAGTTGTGGGAGTGTTAGGAATTGTTCAAATCGTTTATTATTTTGTATTAGGAAATGGTTTACACTGATTATTTTATTATTTATCATCTTGATGGATAGGATTTTTATTTATTTAGCCTGTACCAGCTCAAAAAACATTGGTATAGCAGATAACATGTGCTAAGTACTATTACATCAGAAATACCATTACCTAACTTCTTTCCAATCCTTTGCCTCTTCTGCTCCTGTTCATTTTTGATCTCTTCATCCGAAGTATCTGAGATACAACGGGGTCTCTTGCGGTCTCCAGATTTGAAAGAATCCTGGACTTCAGTCCTTAATTCTACATTGTCTGGGGGTTCATCAACCTGTGATGCATTACATTAAAAAAAAAAAGTTATAACCATGTGGATCAATTTCATTGTTTCCCAAGGCATGACATGTTTGTTTTCTCCTCCCCTAAAATCCCCCAGTTGGTATCCCCACAGAAAAACTGCCTCTCCCATCCTCAGCACCTTCATCTGGACCAGCTCTTCCTCCATCAGTTGTTTGAGTTGCTCCTTCTCCTCTTTAGATAGATTCTTCTGCCCAACATGGTCAAGATATTTCTTCCGAACAATGGCATGAGTGAGGATGCTGCAAGAGACCATGATAAAAGTCAGGCAGCATCTGCTAAGCAACCACACAATATGGGGAATTTGTGATCCTCCAGATGTTGCTTTTTCCAGCTGCCCAGAATGTTGGCTAGGTTGGCTGGGGTTGGGGGGAGATGTAGTTCAGGATATCTATAGGCCACAAGGTCCCACCCAAATTTGTCATCTAAAGTAATCCCAGGATTTTTTAAATCATAGTCTGCCACATCTGCTCTCCTATTTAGGCTTATTTTTCAGAGATGTAATTCTTTGGTTTTCCCTTTGCAAATTACCCAGGAACAAGTCAAACAAACAAACAAACAAACAAACAAATAAATAAATATGTTGTCATCCAGGGATCTCAATTTCCGCCCAGTAGGCTACTCTCAGTCAACATCTTCCAATCTAAGACTTTTACTACCATCCCGCTGGTGGGTTTTTACTTTTTCCTCATGCTCAGGGTCATACTCATCTTCATCACTTGTTGTAAAAGGGTTGCGGGGTCAAGACCTGAATAATCGCCCTCCGCACCAACCACTACTTCTGCAACTCGGCGCCCTCCAGGCATACGGGACACCACTCCACCCATAATTCTCAGCCTGCAAGGCACGGTCGGGGAATGATGGGATCGCCGTCTAGCACGTTGGGGCAAGCGGCTCTGGAGGCATTACATTCTGCAAAGTAGCCATCAATCTCGGCTAAGAGCGCTTCCGCCCCCCTTGCCCTGAAGGGCGACCCGCAGCCTGAGCCGCACCTGAGATCAGGGCTTCCCCGGAAAAGACTGGCGACAAAGTCCCGCATCTCTTGTTGCCGCCCACCAGCGGCTCCCGCCATCCTTTCCCGCCAAATGACTCCTCCAAGCCCGCGTAGCCCTTCCCTCTGCAAAGTCTCATAGGAGTTGTAGTCCAAACTGCGCGGTGAAGAGGCGTGGCCGGCGAACGGTAACAAAACAGGACGCGCAATCCCATTCTTTACCCCACGGCCTCATGGGAGATAAAAGTCTACGAGCCAATGAGGGCGGAGGGCCTGGCTTGCGGGCTTCTTGGGAAATGTAGTTTTTTTCCTCGGGACAACGCTGCAGCGTCCTCCTGACGGCTTTTTAGCAAGGAGAGGGCATTACGGACGCTTATAGGTTGATTCAGGGAGGTTTGTTTTTTTTTTCTTGGACGTGCAGCCTCGTAGCAGTCTGCCCCAATCGGATGCCCTCTAGATCTGTCAGACGACAACTCTTATTAGTCCCAGTCATTCCTTATGTTGGGTTGGAACAGTGTTCTTCAACCTCGGCATCTTTGAGATGGGTGGACCTCAACTCCCAGAATTCCCCAGCCAGCATGGCTGGCTGGGGAATTCTGGGGGTTGAAGTCCACCCATCTTAAAGGTGCCAAGGTTGAAAAATATTGGGTTGGAATATTGAGAGTTCCTATCCAACCTATCTGAAGGACCCCAGGAAGACATCATCATCATCACTACCATCGGAGTGAGAAGCATCTGCAAGTAAGGATAAAAAGGTTTTAGCCTCCTGCTCACCTTAAACAGAGCTATCTGGTTCCTTGCTGTGTCCTTCGAAAGCTCGCACCTTGGTGCAACAGCTTGTGGGAATAAAAGTTGGAAGTTAAAGAAAAGAAAGAGGTTACAGCTCAACTTTCATTTATTTGTTATTTCAGCCAGGTGTGGTTTATTACTTGATTGTTACAAGCTGATTTGTTAGCACTGGGTTTTTTTAAAATAATGTGATTTATTACAGTATTATCGTTGTATTTGTATTTTACTGTACCTGCCCAGTTTTTTGATTTGGTCAAGCTGCAAAAATGTAAAATAAATAAATGGTCCCATAGCAAACAAAGTGGACATCAACTGTCTTTGGGTTGGGACCCTAGTACAACTTTTGAGGATAGCTCTTCCCGGCCAGCAGGCAAAAGTCAGCTTAGTGGGTGAAATGTTTTGTAGCTTTCTTCTAGGCCGGCTTTGTATTACTCTCATTATGTATATCTCCAAATTTCCATTCATATGAATGCATGGTTGGCGAATAACATTCCTAAACTTTACCCAAAGATTACAGTAAATTACTGAAAATAACAGGGGAAGCGAAGAAACAGGGCAGAATAGTGCATGCGATCCATTTACCCGTACTCAGAGCGAGACGGGAAAGAGGTTTTACCAGGCTAAGCTCGAGTCCTACTATTTTAACAAACATGGGTAGGATTGAAAATCACGCCAGGAACGCTGAACACGAAGAAAAGTTTCACCACGACCCGTTTTTTCCTTCCCTCACGATCCATGCTGAGAGGCGTAGTTCTGAGCTCTCCACGCGTCCACTTTCCGAGGCATGCCGGGAGATGTAGTTTTCCCGCTCCAGCTTTGTATCGCGGTTCCTGTCCCACGTTACTTCCCCAGCTGGGCATGAACGGAGCGGGAGAGCCGGATCCGGGCGGTGGGGGCTACAAGAGGCGTTATAGAGCCTTGAAACGGAGGCTCAAATTCCTGATCTATGTAAGTGGCAGGGAATTTCGGGGGAGGAGGGAAACTGAGGCAGGCAGAAAGGACGGGGCTGGAGGAGCAAATAAAATGTTAGGAAGATGTGGACATGTGGGGGAAGCTAAACTATCCAGGTGAGAATAATAAGGGGAGTTTTGCAAGACAGAATAAATGGTAAAAAATGATATTGGCCCCATGCATCCCAAACATCTGAAGAGATCCTGACTTTTGGGGAGGATATGCAGCCCCTGTGGACGTTTAGCACGCTAGGTGTGATGACACAGGAGATGAGGGTGATTAGAGAGACAACACCTTCCACGAGGATGTTATGAAAGGATTATTACTTTGCCCATGTGGAATATAAGAACGCAATTGTGCACGGACATGTTCAACAGTGAATATATGGTTGAGTTTGCAACAACCTTCCAGCACAGTGTTTCTCAACCTTGGCAACTTTAAGATATGTGGACTTTAACTCCCAGAATTCCCCAG